ATTATTGTTACTAATACTAAACTATTACAATAACACAAACTGCATTTATATAGCCTTTTTCAAGTTGGGAACATGTCCTATTATATTCAGGTGCACATCAAAAATCCTGGGACAATGTTTGAAAAGGATTTACATTAAGATGAACCAAGGCAGTAGATCAAGAGGATGTAGATTTAGAGTTAAAAAGGGCAATTTCAGAACAGTTCTTTACCAGAGGGCAATGAACAACTAGAACACATTACTTAGAAAAACTGGTTAAGCAAATTTCCTACAGTTGAATGTGAACAAGACTGAGGCCCTCCTGATTGGCTCGCGCCAGCGCCTCAGCACCTCAGCTCTGGCAGCATCAACCCCCATGGTTGTACACTACAACTCACCAAGCCAGTCAGGAACCTCGGTGTCTTGTTCGACCCTCAACTGTCTTTTCTTCCCCACATTCAAGCCATGACCCGCTCTGCCTTCCCTCACCTTCGTAACATCTCCCGACTCTGCTACTACCTCACCCCTCAGGCCGCTGAAACTTGTTCATGTCTTCATCACCTCCAGGCTCGACTATGCAAACGCCCTGCTTGTCGGCCTTCCCAACTCCTCCCTCCACAGGCTGCAGACAATCCAGAACTCTGCAGCCCGTGTCCTCTCCTGCACCAAACTCTGTGACCCCATCTCCCCCACTCTCGCCCGACTCCATTGGCTCCCTATCCTTCAGAGGATCCAGTTCAAGATCCTGGTCCTCACCTACACAGCCCTCCATGGCCTCGCCTCACCCTACCTCTGCGACCTCCTAACCCCTTACCAACTCGCCCGTTCCCTAAGCTCAGCCACCTCTGGCCTTTTCCACGTCCCCCGACCCACCCGCCCCACCATTGGCAGGAGAACCTTCAGCCACTCCGCCCCCAATCTCTGGAAGTCCATCCCCCAGTCAGTCTGCCTCACCCCCTCCTTAGCCTCCTTCAAGTCCCGCCTCAAGACCCTCATCTTCGACCATGCCATCGGTCACCCCCCCCTTCCCCCTCCCTTTTCCCCTCCCTGATCCCAGCTCGGGTATGAAATGCTGTACTCAGCGCCTCCCGACGTGAAACTCCCTATACAAATGTAATTTTGTTGTTGTTGTTAAGGTCAAGACACTGGGACTCATTAGAAAACAACCAGCTTAATGGTGTGATGGGAGGATGGTAGGGTGGGTATTGTAGAAGACTGAGATCAGATGGGCCGAAGGGCATAAGAACATAAGAATATAAGAAATAGGAGGAGGAGTAAGCCATTTGGCCCCTCGAGCCTGGCCTGCCATTTAATAAGATCATGGCTGATCTACTACCTAATTCCATTTACGCGAACTATCCCCATATCCCTTAATCCCTTTAGTTTTTAAAAACCTTCTTCATCCAAACCTCAATTGTGATCTTCTGAGAAGTTTTTCCTAAAGTCTTGACCAATGGTACCCCAGATAAATTGATCACAGACGTCATAGCTGTTGGTGGGACCTTATGTGCACAAACTATCAGCTGTGTTTGCCTTAAAAAAACTGTCAGTATTCTTGACAGCAATTACCAGTGAAACGGGTTGAGATTTCTCAACGGTATAGTCTCCGTTAAGGCAAGAAGCACTATTTTTATCACGAGTAACCCAATTCCATATAAAACCCCCCAAAATGATGAATAATAAATACAAGCAACAATTTGTACTGAACATTAGAACCAGAGGACACAGCCTGTAATTGAAGGGGGGTGGGGGGGGGCAAATTCAAAACAAATCTCCGGAAGCACTACTTCAGTGAGCGAGTTGTAAATATGTGGAACAGGCTCCCTAGAGGGACGGTGGGAGCTGAACGTGTCAATTCTTTCAAGAACAAATTAGGTAGATTCAGGTTAGGAAATAATTTCTCGGGATACAGTATATAGTTTGGGACATGATGTGTGCATGTGACTGCCAGGATGGTGGAAGGCGAACTGGATGAACCTTGGTCTTGCTTTGGTCCAGCAATTCTTATGTACAAAGTTTAAAGCAAATCGGACTATTTGTACGGGGTGAGAGGTGGGAAGGGGGGGAAAAAAAGTACCACTACACTGCACATTAGAAAACTATACTCATTCCAAAATCAATACAGTTCAGCCTTCAGGTAAATTCATACATTTTGCATGGTCAGGGAATGGAAGTCGATCCATCTTGTCAAGAGCAGGGAACGCAGATGTATATCACATTTATGTATCTGCTGTCCATTTCTAAAGGTTTTTAATAATTCATTTCAATTGACTACCCAGCCAAAATTCTACAAAGCAATCAATAAAGTATTATACACTTTCAACAGACGAGTTTTGTACAGAGTATTTTCACACTCTATGTCGGGCAAGTGCTGCAAATGGTTATGAGATTTATCAGGCATTTCGCAGTCTCCTATCGAGTGCATTTCATTGACCTCAATGGGTTTTATGTACCTTTGAAACCCCCCCACACCACCACATTAATGGGTACAGATACCAAGGCGAATAAAAATCGAAAAACCAATATTGCTTTAAGTATTTTATCCAACTGCTTGACAAGCCAACTCAAAGCTCACCTCAAGGCTTGCCTTTTCTACCGTACATTCGGTCATTTCGCCACAAAATATGCAGTCACTGCACTTTACAATCTAGTCTTCGAAACGTCTCAATGACGTGATAAGGCGCTATATGAAAGTGCGGACATTTGTTACCACATTTGCCCACAAATAGACTTTACAGTAAATCCTGTGAAGTGCTTTGGGACAAATTAGTCAATGTTTTGTTCTGAGCTTCCAGTAACGAGTTGGCAGTCAGGATCAGTGGTGCTGAGTCATTATAGCTCAGTTTGCTATTGCTATTCAAAGACGAAAGCTCCATTTTACACTGCGGTGTCAGCCTGGCTCAGTTGGTAGCACTCTTAACTCTGAGTCGGACGTTTGTGAGTTTGAGCCCCCAGACTGATATGCTAATGCAGTGATGCGGGGGTGGAGGGGGTGGCAGCTACACTGTCAGGGGTGCCGTCCTTCTAGTGAGACTTTAAACTGAGCCTGTTCATGTATCACATAGAAATGTCTCAAAGCACTGCACAGAATTTTTACTATGAAGTGTAGTGACTGTACATTTGTGGGAAAACATGGCAGCCAATTTGTGCTTGGCAATGTGCCACAAACAGCCTCGAAGTTAATGACCAATTTTATGTGGGGATTGTTGACCAGGAGAGAGAAACTCCTTTCCCTTTTAAAACATTGCCACGGGATCTTTAACGTCCACCTGAACAGGCAAATGGGGACATTGGTTTGTCATCCCATTTGAAGCACAGCACCTCTGACAATGTAACAACCCCCAACACCACATAGTCAGCATAGGCTGTGAGTTCAAAGTCCCACCGTGGGGCTTGAACCCACAATTTTCTGACTCAGAAGCGAGAGTGCTACCAACCTAGCCAGGCTGACACCAGGCTGTTATTTAAAGCGGACCCAGGTTAAACAAATGCAGGCACATATTTCATATGACTGAAAACAATTATATGGGTAAATATAATGTCTCGCTCAGTTTTAATAAGGGTCATTCTAATATGGGATATGATCACGCGCAATGTGAACTGGATGGAGTTCATTATTCTACATTATAAACATATGAACTCATTTAAGGCTTCTACAGAGTTTTCATTAAGAATTTAATACCTTAACCTCCCCAAAGAATTTAAGCAATCCATTCTTTACAACAGCAATTTTGTAGTAATTATGGCTGAACTCAAGGTGATATCTCAAACATTTGATATACTGTAGTTTTGCAATTGAAAGCAATATTGTACCTTAGGTGATATATATATATTCCTCCCACTCACACCCTGGCCCTCCACGGTTTATTATTCACTTCATAACTTTATGTTGGTGATTTTAATCATATTCCTGCTGGAATTATCAGCATCCCTGTACAGCTCCCAATCCACCCCTTTTTCACCTTCCTCCCCCTTATTGCCTCTCTCTCCGAATTACTTAGAAAATAATTAAAATGACTAATTTTTGGGGGAGCCGGACATGTGATTATTGCCACCACACAGGCCACACGTGATTATTGCCACCACACAGGCCACACGTGATTATTGCCACCACACAGGCCACACGTGATTATTGCCACCACACAGGCCACACGTGATTATTGCCACCACACAGGCCATAAGATTTAAATTATTGCTCCTTGGTAAATAATATATTTACTGTAAAATTGAATACTGTGTATTTTATGGATGAACGTGGCAGCCAATTTGCACTCATCAATGTCGCACAAACAGCCATGAAGTGAATGACCAATTTTTATCTGAGGCAATGTTGGCCAGGACACCAGGAGAAACTCCCTCCTCTTTTGGAATAGTGCCACGGGAGCTTTAACATCTACCTGAGATGGGAGCTCAGTGTAAGGTGTCTTCCTCTACCCCAACGCTGCATTGGAGTGTCAGCATTGACTTTATGAGTTCCGAGTCCCAACGTGGAGTTAAATAGAGCAGGACATGGGACGGAATCCTATTACAGGGACATCGCTTTTAGTATTTAAGTTATTTGTAATGTTCAGAATTCAAGGATTTTCCCAGCAGATTGAATTCAAGACCCTGGATCTCACATTGAAATCCCCCCAACGTCTCGCCCCATCCTAACCTCTCTGACCTCATTCCAGCCACACCCTCTGCTCAGAAAATACCGGCCTGCTTCATGTTTCTCCACCCCCCCACCCTACCCCGACGTCAGCGAATGAGCTTACAGCTGTTCTGCCTCCGCTCTCCCACTGTTTATCCAACTTGGACCACTCCGGACTTTAAGGCTTTGGCTTGCGGGGTAACATACTCCCTGCCCCCAGTGACTAGGAGAGGTGCGAGAGTGTGTGTATGTGTGTGTGTGGTTGTGGAGGCTTCAACTGTGCTGCACTCACCAGTTTGAGAGAAGGAAACAGAAATGCATGATCTTTCTTATAATCAATACAAAATAACTCCATCCCGTCGTTGTTGTTGTTGTTGCGTTTTCATACCTGCGTCAAACACCGGATCATCCTCCAGGATCCTGACCGCAGCCTCCACAGCGTCCACGGCACTGGCCCCGCTCTCCAGGAGCGCAAAGCCCTCCCTTGCCGCTCGCTTCACCCCCGTCATGGACCCCTCCACCAGTCGCTCAGGGATGGCCCAGGCTCCCCCGTGAATAACGATAATAGGTTTCATGTCAAATGTTTGAAGGTGGAAACCTGTAAACAGATTGAAGGACATTTACTGTGACTGAAATGTATTCACGGGAAACATTTATAATAATTCTTGCATTTGATATACAACATCAAATATACACTTAACGCCAAGTCGCTTAACAATCCTGGTTTGACACCTGAGCTGGAGGTGGGAGCCGAATGGAGGAGAGGAGGGGATTATAGCACCTAAGATGTCAAAATGTCTCAGAAAGCTTCACCGGCTATCCTGTAAAGTGTAGTTAATCTGTATTTTGTAGATGAACACAGCAACGTTCCGCAAACAGGCATGATGTGGAATGACCAATTCTATCTGGGGGATTGTTGGCCAGGACACTGGGAAAACTGCCTTTTCCTCTCTTTTCAAATAGTGCCCTGGGATCCGTATCGTCCACATGAACAGACAGATGGGACCTGGTGTCGACCGAGCTCTGTGAGCTTAAATTGCTTGTTGTGGGGGTCGAACCCGCAATATTCTGACCCCGTGGAGAAAGTTCTACCAACTGAGCCAAGCTGACATCTGCTACATTTGGAGATAGCGCCAACTTCTCTACAGATAGAATCACACACAAAAAATAACAAGTGGAATCTCTGCTACAACACAAATCATGGCTGAATTGTTACAGGGACATGTAGCCTTTTTGTAGTCAAAATCGTAACAGCAAGGTCCCACAAACAGCCATGTGGTGAATCTCCAATTAATCTGGAGGATTCTTGGCAGGGCCCCAAGAGAAACTCCCTTCTCTTTTCGAATAGTGCAATGGGAACCTTTAATGTCTGATTGAACTGGCAGAACCTTGGTTTAATATCTCCTTTGAAGGACAGCGCCTGTCGACAGTGAAGCTCTCCACCCGTGCCCCACCGCAGTTTTGTGGGGTTCGAGCCAAGGCTAAAGTCAGTGCAAGTTGCACCCCTTGTAGAAGGGGAGTGAAAACTGTTGAATAGGGAAATGCAGGTCACTTAACTCTTTCAAAGCCCTCCATGGCCTAACTCTTACCTACCTCTGTGACCTGGTAACTTCTTACTCAACCTGTCCACTATCTCTGCTCATCAGGTTCTGGCCTGTTCCACATCCCTCCGCCCTGCCTGCCCCACCATCGGTGGTCAGGCCTTCAGCCTTTCTGTCCCACCCATTGGAACTCCATCCCACATTCCCTTCGCCTCACTCCTTCCCTTGCCTCCTTCGAGGACCGTCTCAAGACCCTTTTCTTCGAGCACACCTTCGGCCACTCTCCTACCTTCCCTGCCCTCTGCCCTCCCTGATCCCAACCCCCAGCTCATGTCCAAATCCCTGTCAAGCACCTTGGGACGTCCTCCTGATGTGAAAGGCACTATACACCTGTAACTTGCTTTTGTTCCTGGTAGTTAGAGCAAGATCAATGGAGGTTCGAGATTTGGGCAGATGTCAACTTTCATGTACCAGACCTGATGCGAGCAGAGAAAATCCCCAAGTAATAATATTATTGTTAATAATCCTTGCATTTGATAAACTGCCTTTCACATCACCAGGGGGTCTCAAAGCACTTCACAGGATTTACTGTAAAGAGTGACTGAGCATTTTTGTAGGTGAGCAACATAACTAGGCAAAGCTAAATTAAAACAATAATAATCCTTTCATTTGATATAGCGCCTTAGCCTTGCAAGGATTATTATGATTGTTTTAATTATTTTAGCTTTGCCTAGTTATGTGGAGTCCTGTAGCTTAGTGGTGAGAGCACTCACCTCTCAAGTGATTGGACTTGGGTTTGATTCCCAGTTAGGGTGAAACATTGGGCAGGTTTCCTTACTCCACACTCCTCTGTTCATCTAGCAGTTAGTAAGAACCTGGCTGTTAGTCGATTGGCAGATTGTTTTTCCGGGGGTAATAATCCCTTCACAAAATTAATTTAAGAGAATAGTAATTTGCCCCCTGAATCCACAACTGTTTGTGGGACACTGCTGTGTGCAATTGTCTGCTGCGTTTTGATCATAAAAGACACAATTCAATTTACAGTATATTCTGTGAAGCGCTTTGAGACATCTCAAAGTTTTGATAAGACTCTATAATCAAATGCAAGGATTATTATTATCGTGTAATTGAAATGTCTCAAAACACTTCACAGAATATACTGCAAAGCGGATTGACTGTAAATATTTATGGGTGAAACGTGACAGCCAATTGCGCACAGCAGTGTCCCGCAAACAGTCGTGGATTAAGTGACCAATTTATTTTAACATTCCGGTTACTAGTTACTGCTTGGTAAACAGAGGCATGTGTAGTAAGGAAAATTGCCAAGCGTTCTGCCCTGGCCGGGAATTAAACCCGGGTCCTCTCGCTTGCAAGGCGAGTGCTCTAACCATAGGATTCTAATATACAGTGTACAGCACAAGTGCTACTTACTGTTTGGTCTCAGGCGGCAAGTGGAGAGGAATTTTCCTCCCCCAGCTATAAAGGTGACTGTCAAACCTCACTGCACCACTCACTCCCACTGCAGCCTGCCAGGTCATGCACAATTCATCTTATTCTGTTGTAGGCAGCTCTTCTACCAAAGAAAGCTTTCTTTATTCTCTCGAGCACAGGACAAAGAGATAGAAGACAACTTGGCACTCAACAACAATTTGTGCTTAAAGAGCTCCTTTCAATGGAGGAGAACAACTCAAAGCACTTTACAGAGAAGGAGCGAGGGGCCAGGGAAGGGTGGGAGGTGCAAGCAGGAAATGGCCGAAGGTATTGCTTTTAAGGTGGTTTTGATAGCCGGGAGGGAGAGTGACAGGTGGCACGATTTAGGAAGAGCATTTCGGAAAGTGGGGCAAAGTGGTTGGCAGCTCACCGAGGGACGGTGAAGCAACGGCCGCGAAGCAGACTCCCCGAGTTGCAGAGACTCTCAAAACTCTAGTGTGTCAAGTGACTCCTTGAATAACTCACAGCAATTGAAACCATATCATAGCCCCCAAACCAGTTATAGTCCCACAATGCCTCTTTATATTTTGTGGTCTTCTTTCATTGGTTCCCATTTAGTTGCGAGTTTCCTCTTAAAGGGGTATCCAACAGGACGCGTCTCAATTACAATTATTACTGTACTACTGTACACTCTAGCTAGATGATATGTCACACAAATTACATGATAATAATCCTTGCATTTGATATAGTACCTTATCACGTCTTCGAGACGTCTCAAAGCGCTTCACAGAATATACTGTAAAGTGAGTTGCCTGTATATTTTGTGGGCGAAACATGGCACAGCAGTGTCCCCCAAACAGTTGTGGATGAGTACTAAATTATTATTTATTTTTTATTAAAGGATTATTATCCTCGGAAAAGCAATCCACCAATCGGCTAACAACCGGGTTCCTACTTACTGCTAGGTAAACAGAGACGTGTGGAGCAAGGAAACTTACCCAACTCTTCACCCTGCCTGAGAATCAAACCCAGGTCCTCTCGCTTGAGAAGCGAATGCTCTAACCACTAATAATAACAATTCATTTTACAGTTTATTCTGTGCAGTGCTTTGAGACGTCTCAAAGACGTGAAAAGCGCTACATCAAATGCAAGAATTATTATTATTATTCATATTATTCTTTCGGTGGATTTTTTTCAAGTGATTGGAATGTGAAGTGTCCTGCTGAGTAGGGTGGTGGAGGCAGAGTGCATCGTAGCTTTCAGGCGGGAAGTAGACAGGTATGTGAAAGAGAGGGCTTGAAGGAGTTTGGGGATAAGGCAGGTGTTGGGATTGAATTGATCTCCTTGCTCCTTGAGCCTGTGCAGGCTCGATGGGCCAAATGGCCTCCTTCTGCTCTGTAGACATCTATGTTTCACATTCTGGGGTCCCCCCCCAAGCCTTTGCTCTTGCCAACCTGCGCCTAATACTTTCCTGAATTAGGTCAGCAGGATGTGTCCCTCCAGGGAGAGAGTGCGCAGTCCATTCCCACAATCTGTCTCTGGAATTTCCATGTGTGGGTGAGATGCGTGGAATTCTCAGCTTGGTTTGGAGACTCTTAAGCACGGTGATGGGTTTCCGCATGTGTCGGACACCCGGCTGACCAAAAAAAAGGTCATTTCTCTATCTCCAGGGAGAAAAGCTCCAACGTGGCCAATTTCTATTGATAGCTGTATCCACTCATCCCTGGTAACATCCTTGTAAATCTATGTTACACTCGCTCCAGTGCTAAATATACCCCTTATAGCAAGGCATCTGAAAAGAAAAATACAAGAGAGAATGCAGAATATATAGGGGAATGGGACTGACAAGAAGCTTTTACAGAGAATCAGAGGAGTCAATGACCGAGGCAAGCCAAATTCCTTTCTTCTGTGCTGAAATATTCAATGATTCGGGTAAAATTTGCATTATATCTTAAGCATTCCTTAAATTAGCATTAATTAACTCTGAGGCTAATTTTGGGAATACTTAAAGAATAAGGTTACGCTCATGATTTCTAGTACATTTGCCAATCCAGTTAGTTTGCAGCGGTCATTGAACTGCACTGTGTAAATGGGGACACCGCAGAGTAAAAATAATGTCTTGCGCTGTCTCGTTTGCACACACTGTGACTGGAAATTATTTAACAGAACTTTGCTGAACAGTTGTGTCTCCTGTCCCACTACACAGTTGGTGTGTGTCTGACTGCTCGTGTGGACTATAAACCCCGGCATGGCCTGATTGGGCCGGGTGGCCTGTTTCTGTTATGTTCTACATTTGTTTAATTCTTTTTCAATGACTATTATAATTATATGAAAGCTGAATATGAAAGTCAGTGAGTGTCTGACTGTAGCTGCACAGTCAGTGAGTGTCTGACTGTACAGTGTTTGACTGTAGCTGCACAGTTAGTGTCTGACTATAGAGTGTCTGACTGTAGCTATACAGTTAGTGAGTGTGTGACTGTAGTATCTGACTGTAGAGGCTCTGACTAGGATGTCTAACTGTAGAGTGTCTGACTGTAGAGTATCTGGCTGTCGAGTTTCTGACTGTAGAGTGTCTGACTGTAGTGTCTGACTGTAGCTGCATAGTTAACGAGGGTCTGCCTATAGAGTGTCTGACTGTAGAGGGTCTGACGGTAGCTGCACAGTTGGTAAGTGTGTGACTGTAGCTGTACAGGGATTGACCCACATCCTGCCTCTGAGATGGAACCATGGAAACCCAGAGGACGGCTGAATTCTCGCCTGATTGCAGGCCCAAAGCCAATTCAATGTATTCTCAGCGCGGGGATTATTGTTAAGTAGATTTTCTTTTTTAAAAAAATATATTCAGGTCTAGAATCACGGAATGCCACAGTTCACTAACATTGGCGAAAATATAAGAAATGAATAAGGAAAATTGGGGGTCTCGTGCGGAGTACGAACACCAACATGGACTAGTTGGGCTGGATGGCCTATTTCTATGTTCACCTAATTGCTTTTCAATGGCTAATATAGTTATATTAATGCTAATATAGAGTGCAATGTGGCAATAAGATATCATATAATTAGAGTGCAGCGATAACTTGCATTTATGTAGCGGCCTTCATGTCGGGCAACGTCTTGGATCGAAGAGCTTGACACCAAGCTGGTTGGGGAGGGAGGGAGGGGATGACCGTAAGCACGGTCGAAGAGGAAGGTCTCCAGACGTGATCTCAAAATGGGGAAGTAGGCGGCAAGGCAGAGGGATTGAGGAAGTGGGTTCCAAAGTTTCAGGGCGTAGTGGCTGAAACCAAGGCCGCTGACAGTGGAGCAGAGTGGGGACCAGGGAGAAGCAGGATGCCGGAGCCAGCCGAGCAGAGGCGTCAGGAAGTGGAGCCAGGGCACGAAGCAAGTGCGAGGATCTTGAAGTCAATCTGTTCTGTAATGGGGAGCCAGTGGAGCCTGGTGAGGACTGGTGTCAGGCGAGTAATACACATTAAATATCCTATGGCACTTTCGGAAAGAAATAGGAATTTCTCCCAGTGTCCTGGCCAACAATTTTCCAAATAGAATTGGTCACTCACTCCATGGCTGTTTGGGGAGGGGTGGGGGGGAGGGGGTCATTGCTGTGGAAAAGTGGCTGCTACGTTCATCCACACCCCCCAAAAAATTATTATTTACTTGTATTGCCCTGGCTCTCATTTGTGTACTGCACGTGGCTCATATAAGAAGCATATCATTTTGTTAAGTAACGTATTTTTGATATATAAAATCAAAGCCATTTCTCAACACCTCAGTTCCACAAAAATCCCACCGCCCAAAAAAAACATCAGCCAACAGATTTTTTTCTCGGCCTCTTTCCCTAATTTGTGTGTGTGTGTGTATTGCAAGGCAGGGAAACCAGTGAACTACGCAGAGAGAAAGATAGAGAAGCAAAGGGAGGGTGGAAGTTCAGAGGAAGCAGTTTATTGCACCTATAATGACCGGCGAGGGCTATCAATTATTTTCATCTCAGACGGAAAAAGAAAGAAACCCAATGTATCCCATCTGAACTAAACCTTTCCCCTAACACACACTACAGGCAATTAAGTTTGTCACCCAGCATTGCAGATGGCGAGATTTATGATGCCTTATGCCAACCCGAAATCATTTATTAAGCTTTGGGGATGCCAATACATCTTGTGGAATAGCAATGTTTTGAACAGACCGCACCATTATATCGCAAATGCTCCACCGAACTGATTCTGTGCTTGCCAGCCCGCTGACCTCTCATTCCACTGATTGTCAGGTTTCTGGTATCTATTTGATCATTTCGAAAGCCCTCGTCCATACGAAAAGTGCCTTTGATATGCCACGGGCATATACTGCTCTACAGTACTGTACTCTTCGCCCTTAAATGTAAATAACTCGGGAAGAAAAATGTCTCGGGTGATGTGACAATCATCATCTAAATTGTGGACCTAATCAGTTATTAGTTATTGACTGGCTGTTGGATGTGAATAATAATAATAATCCTTGCATTTGTTATAACACTTTATCGTGTCATTGAGACGTCTCAAAACTGTTCACAAAATATACTGTAAAGTGAATTGACTGTATATTCTGTGGGCAAAACGTGGCTGCCAATTACGCACAGCAGTGTCCTATTGTGGACCGAGTTACCAATTTATTTATTTAGAAGGGAATATTATCCCGGAAGGCAATCCCCAATCGACTAAGAACCAAATTCCTTCTTACGTGTAGGTAAACAGAGGTCGTGTGGAGTAAGGAAATTTGTCTACGGTTACGCTCTGCCCAGGAATCGAACCCAGGTCCTCTCGTTTGCGAGGCGAGTGGTCTAACCGATACTCTATAGGACTCTACAACACCTCCCCTCTCTCTCCCACCTCCTTCATTTCAATGGTTTGGATCAAAGTCAGTCCAAAGCACTAAGTACAGCCAATTTTATCAGCACCCACAGAGGTAAGCCAGCATCCGCTGAAACTGCAATGTTGGCAATAACATTGGCAGCTCTGAATTCACTGTACCAATGTCAATGGCAGAGGTGGGTGAGATTCCACCCCCGCAGTCAACTAGGTGTCAGCCTGACTCAGTAGATAATATTCTCATCTCTGAGTCGAAAGGTTGTGGGATCCACAGGTCTTTGAACTCACAGCCTTGGTTCCATTGCTGTGCTGCATTGTTTGAGGTGCCATCCTTTGGGTAGATATTAAAGACCCCCTGTCATTACTCAA